ATTTCACTCAGCATAATGACCTCTAGATTCATCTGTGTTATGAGATGTTTCATGGATTCATCATTGTTATCAATGCACAGTATTCCATTGTGTGTGTGTACCATAACTTGTCCCTTCATCTGTTGATGGGCACTTAGGTTGTTTCCATTTTTTTTGCTATTGTGAATAATGCTGCAATGAACATGTGTGTGTGCATGTCTATTCATGTGATGGCTCTTATTTCTCTAGGATATATTCCTAGGAGTGGGATTGCTGTATCATATGGTATTTCTAGCTTTCTAAGGAGGCACCAAATAATTTTCCATAGTAGTTGTACCATTTTACATTCCCACCAGCAGTGCATAAGTGTCCCAGTCTGCCTGCAGCCTCTCCAACATTTGTTATTTTCTGTTTTTTTGATTACTGCCGGTAACGTTGGGGTGAGATGGTATCTCATTGTAGTTTTGATTTGCATTTCTCTAATGGACAATGATCTCAAGCATTTCCTCATGTGTCTGTTAGCCCCCCGAATGTCTTCTTTGGTGAAGTGTCTGTTCATATCCTTTGCCCATTTTTTAATTGGATTGTCTTTTTGTTATTGAGATATTGACGTATTCTATAGATGTTAGAGATTAGACCGTTGTTGGATATGTCATAGCCAAAAATTTTTTCCCAGTCTGTAGGTTCTCTTTTTACTGCTTTTGTGAACTCTTTTGATGAGCATAAACGTTTAATTTTTAGGAGCTCCCAGTTACCTAGTTTATCTCCTGGTGTTCGTGCATTGTTAGTTATGGCTTGTATTCTCTTTATGGCATCTATTAGGGCCCCTAGTGTTGTCCCTATTTTTTCTTCCATGATCTTGATCGTTTTAGGTTTTATACTTAGGTCTTTGATCAATTTTAAGTTAGTTTTTGTGTATGGTTTGAGGTATGGGTCCTTTTTCATTTTTTTACAGATAGACATCCAGTTTTGCCAGCACCATTTGTTAAAAAGACTGTCTTTTTTCCCCATTTGATGGACTTTGGGCCTTTGTCAAAGATCAGGTGACCATAGGTGGATGGATTTACATCTGGTTTCTAG